ACTGTATATCTAACTGGTGGTTTAGGAACTTGTAACTTAATCAAGGAAGAGTCTCTAAATTATGTATCACCCAATACATTCAAAATGTATCAACTTTCTATAGATGAAAATGAGATTTTCATCCCTTTCATCTGTTATTTCATTTCCCTTTCAATAATCATATGCTCAATTATGATAGCTGGCAATTTAGCCATGATGGAATGTTATTATAATAAAGCCATAATGATTTGACCAATGACAATAACAACATCATTATCAATTTGGTAAGAACAGCAGCTAACTACAAAACTAAATTTTACCGTTACTATACTCCAGTTCCCTTTCAGTCTTGTCTGACTATGCTTCTGCCTTCATATGAAGCTTTACTGCTTGCTGCAAAAGTATGGCCAACTACATGATAATGGGGGTCCTGTGTAATAAACAGAAGATGATATTTTCATGACCTCATAGAAACTGTTAGCTGCTATGTTGCAAAGTTCACAGTCATTGTCCTTCATATCAATTGAGATCTAACTTCATGATTTTGGCTGAAGTCTCATTTGATCAGTATGATAGATGAACTATTCTTAGAGTCAAAAAGAGCATTAGTTTTTTGCTGATAGTCCTCATTTTCTCAGCAACTTTTGATGTTATCAGCTGTGAGTTTCTTCTGGGATGGCTTGGATGGCATGAAAACAAGATCATGAAATAGCAGTGATTCTGTTCCTTCCAGGTGGGAAGATTCTATAAGAATCTACTCTCTTTGAATTCTTCACTTTAAATAGGTTGCTTCTTTTATGAATTTTGGGTTTGATTTCATTAATGGAAATGAATAACATGAGACTCAAGGTAGAAATAAATTAACCCCACAAACCCATAGAGGGCCAATATGTCTGTTTTGGATGGGGTCATTCTATGTACAGAGGATCATATTAAGATGAGAAATACCCAAAATCTAGCATTGTTGCTGGATGCCAGAAGGAAGTCGTGGCTACAAGTGTTACTCCATTAAATTTTAGTCATCCCCACTTTATAGAGGAATCTGATGAGACTGCCTCTGTGGTGATGGTTATGAAAGGTCTAAAATAATAAAAGTGGCAGTTGTGACTTACTTTCTTATACTTTCCCCTTGCAGGCATGCCTACTTTTACCATAGTTTGGAATTTTCATTTGTTCATAACCCAGTAGCCTATTTTGTTTTTCTTCTATGCCATCATGCCAATTCTTGGAGATTACCTGGACCAGTTCTTACAATTTTCTTGGCAAGATTTTTAGAAGTGCTTGCAATTGCCTCCTTTCTAGGGCTGAGAGAAAGTCACTGGCCCAAGGTCACTCAACTGGCTTTGTGCCTAAGGCAGGACTAGAATTCATGGTGTTCTGGTTTCTAGGCTGATGCTTTGGCCACTACATCAAACTAGTTGTCAGCCTAATTTTAATGAAGTATAAAATATAATTTCAAGTTTATTATGGGCTCAAATTCAGGCTACCCAAATGGTCTCATTTTAGATCATTATTTGTTCTTTTCTCTGTTTTTAATGAAAATTATGCTGCTATAATTAGTAAATCCATTTATATTAACATTTACCAAAAAACAGAAATTGCTTGGGAGATTGCTTTGAAGAAAGAATGCAAAAACTGTTGAGGTCAATTTAGCCGTAGGAAGGATGAAGGGTGAGAAAAAAAAAACATGAGATAACTCTGCCTTGGTTGTGTATGCATAAGAGGGAATAGAAGAAAACTCTAATAAGCTTTGAAGATTCCGTAATTATAACTTATAGCAACAGCAGACCTTATATCGTCTGTTCCTTGATCTGCCCCACCTTGACGGGTTGACAATATTTGGTATAATATCATGTGTTTGATATCATCGTGCTACATGTAATGTCACTTGCACTCCTCTCCAGCACATTCCTACTTCTAGAAGTTGGAATATCCAGCTCATGTGGTAGATGTACATGGAGAGCAGTAAAAATGACCCCATATAGGACTTATACCCAAAACATGTTTAAGTCATCAGCCACTAACCAGGTTGAATTACCTTACTAGTGATTCTGACAGCACACGATCACATTAACTTAGCTGTGAGCTTGGTAGCTTGTGTTCTGGATCCATGCCCCTCTTGGCTGGTTAAGGCTTCCAAGAAAGTGACATGGTTGGGTGCGTGAGGGGGCTAATATCTATTTTAGGGAAGGGGTGGTTCTGTCAGGCTGGAAAGTGGTGGTGAAAAGCCCTCTTCTTTAACCAACTGTGTTGAATTACTTTTGTTTTTGACTCTTGATGGGGTAGCACTTACCGAGGCAGCATTGATATACAATTTGAGGATCTTCCTGGATTTGTAGCTCCTGCTCAAGAAGCAGTTGGCAGCTGTAGCTAGGGACCCTTTGCACAGATATATCTTGTGTATCAGATAAGATAAGATAACCTTTATTGTCATTTTTTTACTGTGGGCACAACGGCACAGATCAAAAATGAAATTTAGTTGCCCACTCTCAAAGTGAAACACATACATGACACACACCTAAACTACTATGAACAACATATGTATAGACCCACACCCCTACATATACAGTACATAGCAAATAAATATTAAATATTGTCCATCTTGAATATATAACGGAAGGAGGAAGCTTGAGAGTTCACAAGGTTAATGCTGTATGAAATGAAACTATGGCTGAATCTGGATGTTCTGCTATAGATACCACGAAGCCTCCTCCCAGAAGGTAACAAGGAAAACAGGTCATGAAGAGGATGTGTAGTGTCCCAGATAATCTTATGGACCCTGCTCAAGCAATGCTTCTGTGCTATGTACTGGATGGGAGGGAGGGAACTGCCAATGATCTTTTCAGCCATTCTCACCTCTCTTTGCACCCCCTTCCTGTCTGAAGCAGTGATTCCTCCAAACCAGACTGTGATGCTGTATGACAGGATGCTCTCGATCATCCCCCTGTAGAAAGTGGTCAGGACAGGGGAAGAAAGATGTGCTTTTCTCATGTGATGCAGGAAATGCAGGCACTGCTGTGCCCACTTCATCAGTTTCTCACTGTTGAGCGACCAAGTCAGTCTACTCGTTAGCTGTACACCTAGGAATTTGATGCTGGTAACCATCTCCACAGGTGAATCATTAATGCACAGAAAAATGTGGCTGAAATCAACAATGATCTCTTTGATGCCCTGCCCAGGATCACTCATGCCTTGGTCACTTTCAAGTTGGACTATTGCAATGTATTCTGCATGAGACTGTCTTTGGAGACCTCCTGGAAATTACAGTTGGTCCACAATATAGCCTTTGCATAGTAATAGACACCCCTCAGTTTGCCAATAGTATACCATTGCTGTGTGAGCTGAATTGGCTTCCAGTTTCTTTCTTGGTGGAATTCAAGGTACTATGGTAGTTATCACCTTTAAAGCCAGGACATTTGAAGAACTTCTTCTCTTTGAGGGTATCTGCCCACTGAAAATAATATGCAATGAAGAACTGTATGAGAACAAAATGCCTATACGTATGTATGTATGTAGGTAGGTAGGTAGGTACGTACGTACGTACGTACGTATGTATGTACGTACATTTTCTGAGGTTTTCGCAGGTGTTTGTATGTAGGTCTTTGGTTATTCAGGTTTTCTCCCATGTAAAATTGGAAGTGTCTTGGCAATGTTTCGACAAAGTCCCATTCGTCATCTTCAGGCTGGTGTTTTCGGCTTTGTACTTCTAGGAGCATGAAGCCGAAAACACCAGCCTGAAGATGACGAATGGGACTTCGTTGAAACGTCGCCAAGACACTTCCAATTTTATGTGGAAGAAAACCCGAATAACCAAAGACCTACATATATATATACACATACATACATACATACATACATACAAATATATACACACTTTATATAAATACACTTTGTGTGTGTGTGTGTGTGTGTGTATACTTTATATATGTTGTTTATCTAAAAAAATTAAATTAAGCAACACTAAACTTATTATAATTCCAACAATAAAAGAAAACACCAGGGAAGAAATAATCTCAAAGAAGAAGATATCCCCTGCTATCTATTGTGCAGCTAACAAGGTCCTGCAGAGCTAAATAACAGAAACAAATTAGCTGTTGGACAATCACATCTCTTACTCTTTGCCAAGTGTTAGGGCAGTGATCAGGTGCCCAGAATTGGTTCTTTTGGATTCATAGACAATAAGCATACCAGTAAATAAAGGGATTTTAAGCTTTATTATTAGCTCAAGCAAACAGATTTAAAACATAATGTAAAAAGCATACATACCAAGTAAGATGATGCCCAAATCTCTTACAAGTTGCCAGGAGCTCCTTATAATGATAGCAGAGATACCCCAAGGGAGCTCAGTTTCCACAGTATCCAATGCAGATGCTCCCAACAAACAACAACCCAAAGTTGTTGTTTTTTTAATCAAAATTTGGCACCATGACTTCATGGCTCTGCTGTGATCATGAGACTATAAGACCTGATCTTGACTAGGTGGCACATGACTCTAGGATGGGAATTGAAAATCTGAGACTTTCACAGTAAGAGAAGTTTGCAGCTATGTAAAGGTTTTCTTCTCCCCAACTGTTCAGTAAGCAAGAGTAAAAACCAAGCAGGTTAGTTCAGAATGAGCTCTAAACTTCTATACTTTTCTTAATGTGAAAGAGAAATCAAAATATGTCACTAAACTCCTCAAAATAACAATGATTTTCCACATTGCAACTATGTTGTCTTCACCAGCAGCAAAAATGATGAAAAACAGGCAAATCTAGGTAAACTGGCTAATAATCAAGATAAGCCCAGACTGACATCCCCATTATTTTCAGGAGATTGTAAGCAAAAATAGGGTTGCAGCAGATATCTCGCTGCCCTTTCAGGATTATAGAAAAAACGTCATTTTCTTCTTCTCTGAATCAAATAATGCAGTTCTAGTTTCCTCTTTTAGATCTGGCTGGAATCGTGGAAATGGTATTTTTAAAATCATCAGGGAAAAAACTCAATAAACAATGCTGAGAGGGCAAATGCTGAGAAAGAAGTGGTGGCAAGGGCTCAGTGTTGGGATTCAGATTTGTGAACAACCGGTTCTCTGTGTGGATGCCGCTTCCAGAAGTCCATTCTGGGCCTGGGCAATAAAAAATTAGCTACCGATTCTGCTGAAGTGGTGCGAACTGGCTGAATCCCACCACTGCAAGGGCTGGAGAGTGACTAGTGGGAAAGGTGCTTGCTTTCAGATTGTATGGGCCTTGATGCTCTGATAGGATAATGTTGGATTAAAGAGGTATAGTGGCATGGCTGAACCCATAGGGTAGAAAGGAGACCTTTTTTATATATCTGGAGTTCAGGTGTACATATTAAAGAAAAAGATGCATTGTCAATGCAGAAAAATTATACCTGTGCTTACGTATATCTACCATTACATGGGGGAAGTTGCAGGAAGCAAGAGGATAGGAAGTCAAGATGATCATTGCATATATATCCCAGGATATTATATTTGAGCATGAGTCACATTGAGCATGTATTACATCCCCATCCATTCCATCTGTAATTATTCCCCACTTTAAATGCAATCCATTATTCCCTAACCTTGTCCTCATCTTCTGCAGATGTTCCTAAACATATTCAGGTATTATTTTCTTCTTTCCTAAGAAATAAAATGTCGTTTAAGAAAATCAGTATCCACAAATACCTCTGACTATAATGTCACAAATGCCATTACTTTTAGCAATATTGGAAGTGAAGAGAGAGTTCTGTGGGTCTTTTTTTTTTTTACAGCTAAAGTAGGAGAAGCTGCTTAAAGCTTATTGCAAACTGTTATTTTGCTGTTTTCAAAATGTCAGCTCCATTTTCTTTGCAATAAAATAAAGAACAGGGACATAACATGTAACATTCTACAAGAAACAAACAAGCCAAAATAAATGGCATAATAAAAAAAAGTTTGCACATGGACACAATTAGAGCTTTGGCCCATGTGTCCATTGCATATTGAAAAAAACTGCGTACATGAAGGTCCAAGAGACTTCTGAAGTTAATTTGCAAAAAAAAAAAAAATCAAGGTCATTGAGAAACGCTCTCTATTATCAGTTGCAAACAATAATTGTTGATTACCTAAAAATCAAACCAAAGTAAAATTATATATCCTCGTAAAGGTAAGAAAATGAAAAAAAAATCAGGCCGCAGGTAGAGAGGTGGTGTGATTACAGATAAGGAAATCTGCCCTGGCAAATCATCATACTGGAACATGTTAGAGAACCGACTTCTTCGTAAGCAGCCTTTTGAATGAATCAATCACTTTTCACTAAATGGACTGTCAAAAGCTGCTTTTAGTGGGAATGAGTGTTCATGCTACTTGTATGATCCAAGGTTTCATCATTGCAGGATCTATAGATCACTACATGCAAAGTGTCCTTAGAATGCTGTTTTTTCTGTCTCCCAACAAAAAAGTAAACAAAAGGATTGAGGCCGCTGTTGATTAAATTAAGCAAAAAAAAGCTATGAAGGATGGTCCAGTTTAACTCCATTGTTGGCTGCATGTATTGCATCAGACATAGGATCTTGTAAGGTAAAGCCAAGATAAGAAACAGAATGACTGTGATAAGAACAGTACGATAAAACCGAGCTGGAGATTTTGACTGTGGGTATCTAGATAATTTGATAAACAGGCTGAAGCTACAAAAGACCATAACTGGCAAAAATAGCATTAAAACGATGACAATGAATATATTTGCCAGATGTGAAGACCTGGAAGACGTGTATTCCTGCCAACATATATAGTCTAGTCCCACCATGATGCAGGAGAGGCCCCACAGGACCGCACATAGTATGGTGGAAAGATGCTTTGGCCGATTAAAACGATAGCAGAAAGGGAAATAAGTGCCCACATACCTCTCCACGCTAATTGCTGTCAACAGGAAAAAACTGGTATTGAATCCCAAAAAAGTCAAAATATTAAATACCAAATAGAAATTCGAGTCCAAAAGACTGTCTTTCCACGTAACTAGATGAATAACAAAGTATGCGATGTGACAGAAGAGGACAGTGAAATCAGCAATGGCTAAATTTAGCACATATACTGTGTATTTAGTCTTTTTGATTCTACAACAGAGAAACCAGAAGATAGCTCCATTGCTGAAAAGTCCCAAAGCGAGGATGGGTAGAGTAACATATAACAATATTATCAGACTGTCAGCTTCTCGGAATAAATCTTGGGTCTCATTTATCTTGGCTTCATGAACAGTAGGAACGGCCTCTGTGATCAAGACATGTATGGAGTGGCCAGTATTCTTCTCTTCCCTGTAAAAATAGGAAGAACCCCACAATTATTAAGACTGTCGAACTTTGTATTGCAAATAAAAGGATTTGGAAAGATCCATCTAACCAGAAAGGTTTCTGAGTCATTTCTCTCCTTGATTCCCTGTAACATTCATGTCAACAAGACATGAGTAGGTGTAGTGAAATATTTCCACACTTTAGCAGATAAATTGTTTGCGAAGTTTTTACTCAAGCAGTCTTTTTTCCTTAATATTAACAGCATATCAGTTCATCCCATCTACCTGCTCTTTTCTTCTTTTTGATTTCCAGTTTTAACAAGTTCCAAGAAATGTAATAGTTTGACCATGAGCCAATTTCAAGCTCTGCAGTAAGAAAACAGATTGCCTTATTTGTACCTTACTGTACTCCCTCCCTCCCTCCCTCCTTCCTCTGTGTCTGGGTGCAGCTATTGCAGCTGGCAACTGAATAAAGGGAAGGGTCACTCTGGCAAAACAAACTACAGCGCAATACTTTTGGCTCTTTGTGGCATCCACATGTGACCGGTATGTTTCTCTTTCCACCCTATTCCTTTTCCTGTTCTTTCTTAAACCGTAAGCCTGTGTGCATGGAATATCCTGTTTTGTTAACAATTCTCATCTCGGTTGTACTAAATGCATTTCTTTTCCTGAAATACACACGGGATAGAAAAAATTCCCACACATTTTCTTCTCTGAGTTCTCATTCTGTTTTACAGCTAATCTTTCAAGCAAGAAGAGAGTTGCAAACAGTCCTTATGAGCACAGTGAGGTGTTCTTAAACTGGTTACCTCTGTTTGCAAGGCACAACTGCTTCAGTTTGTTCTAAGCTGGAGTAAATAGACCGTGACCAGGAAGCCGATGGCCTTGGGTGTGCCACTCAAAACCAAGAGCTCTTTGCAGAAAAGTAGCTGGTAACTTGGGATTTCCTGAACTCTCTGAAACAAAAATCCAATAACCCATCTGGTTCAGAGACACCTTAACACTGTTGAAGGTGAACCTTCAGTGAATCCTCTATGAAATATTTGCAGGATCTGCCTGATCATGGAAGGCTAGTTCAGCGCAAGACAAATCTAGTGTTGTTTGGTGTTAAAAATAACTAACAAAATCCCACATCTAGTTGGATGTAGGTGATTGCAGCAGACCAGTGGTGGTGAACCTATGGCACGGGTACCAGAGGCGGCACTCAGAGCCCTCTCTGTGGGCACACATGTCGTCACCCCAGTCCTAGGCCTTCAGCTAGGTTTTATAAAACCTTTTTGCCATGTACAAAAAAAAACCCGCTTCAATCAATTAGTCAATTTCAACTTCTCGCGGGAAAAAAAAAGATCTTGCAAAGTTGGAATTGATTGACTGAAGTTTTTAGTCCCACCCAGTCTGCTGTTACCACTGCAGCCACACCCACCCAATGGGCCATGCCCATCCAATGGGCCACACCCACCCGGCACCCGACAATGCATAAGTGAGTTTTGGGTTGCAGTTTGGGCACTCAGTCTCTAAAAGGTTCGCCATCACTGCAATAGACACTATTCCCCTCCCCCCCTTGACTCATTTGTGACATGCAGATATGGCCACTTAGTTATTAAGAAGTCACCAACATGGTTGAATGTCCTGTTTTGGATTATATGTAATCTTTCTAGACATCTATAGTTTTCCAGATTTACTAGGTTTCAATGGAATCCCAAAGGTTTTTTTTTAGTAATGGTACCATTAATGTAAGCTTGCTCTTGAAAAAGTTGTAGAAATTTTCTCCTTCTCTAGAAATTGCCTATCTACCCATTTGATACAGGTTTGGCAAGGGCATTTCAGTCCTGCTCTTGCTGAAATATTTGCCTGATCTTCAAGGCTCAAATAGCAATCCCATCTGTCATAAAAATTCATGTGCTGTACTGAAATGTACATTATATTTCCCAGTAGGAGAGAGCTCTAGGTTTGATGGCAGGCATATGTGCCTTTGCTGTTCAGCCCAAAAAAGGGAAAAGATTCTTTCACTTCTGATTTTTTCAAAATCTTAGCTGAGGAATGTTTTAAGATGAGAAATCCATGACCCCAAAATTAAGGGCAATATTCAAAGATTTTGTAGGGATTCTAAAACTCCTAAATCTGGGATCTGCTTATCACAGGAGACTAATCTCTAAATTTGGAGTGACACTGGAAATTTAATAAAAGGAGTAAAAGCATTGCAGAAGGAAAAAGAAGGAAAATTAAGAAAACACATTTAGGGAACATACTTAGTAGCTGGAGTACTGCCTACATCTGCAGAGAACATATTTCCCAACATTCCTAACAAGTCTTTTTAATTTCAAAACTTAGTTCGTAAATCCATATCCATAATTCTAATGCAATTCTGTTGGTAAATTAGAAAGACTAATATTGCACTGAGTTATGTAGGTGGGGCAAATCTTTATGCTACTAGTCCTTTGATTACTTAACATGGATGTTCAGAGACAGAGCATCCCTGGAATCTCTCAACAGGGTTGAGAAAGACCTTCACTAAATTCCTCAAGAACTCCTGCCAGGAACTCTGGAATATCAAAGGCGTTGAAACCCACCTTGTTCCCCAAAAGTGCTTCTGAAGCTTGGAGTCAACTTTAGTCTCTTCCCTGGCCCTTTTCACCAGCCAAATGAAGCAAGGTTCCAAGTGCAGAGTAAGATCATAGACACCTCTGTCTATACAGTACTTCCATAGGGTCAACAACTTCCCAGAAAACATCAGAAGGCAATTGATTCAGTGGCTCTTTTTACCAGGTTCAAAACTGCATGCGGGGTTTCTAATGGCAGAATAGAGGCCAAGTTCTATAAACAGATGTAATGGGTAGGATGGTGGGGAAAGGATAGGCATGTATGCATGCACATACTTACAACTACTTCTACAAACTAAAATTATATTTATAGTTTACAGTATTTCTTGTGGAAATAATTAAGGCTTAGTTCTACTATACAGTTCTACTATACCAGGGGTAGGCAACCTTGGCTCTTTTATGACTCCTGGACTTCAGCTCCCAGAATTCCTGAGCCAAGTCCACGAGTCATAAAAGAGCCAAGGTTGCCTACCCCTGTACTTTACTATTGGTTAAACAAGCCAACTGTTTTCAAACAGTTCTTAACTATCTTAACTTGTTCCCTCTCTTTAATTATTGTTTTGGTATTCTACCTCTTTATCTAGTGATCTGACTTTGGCATTAGCTTTTAGACAAGAGAAGAGCAGGGAAAGAGGAAAAAATAACTTTTTCCTGAGCTGCTTAGAATTCTAGCATCTTAGTTCAAGCTTTTTCCTGTTGACTCCTGGTCTGGCTTTCTAAATTACTTTCTGATGAAAAGGATCACAGAATAAGAAAATGGTTGAAGAACTTGATGGTCTTTGTTTCAGGTTTCCACTCAGCCTTGGGGCCCATTGGGTGCCTGGGGACTAGTCTGTTCCTTTCTTAGCCTCATCTCACCTCACATGTCTTTTTGCTGTGAGAATGAAATGTGGAAAGCCTCATGTAAGTCAGCTTTTATGTTCATTAAAAAAGGTAGGACATATGTGCAATAAATAATTGATAAACATATTTGGGATGTGAATGCATGCATATACAGATTTCTGAAGTGCAATTTAAGAAAAGTGAAAGAAATGAAATAACATTTTAAAAAAGCTAAAGGGCTCATGAGATGAGTTTATACATTCACTGTATTTCTTAGGCAATCCTGAAAAGGAAGGTAAAGCCTCCAGAGGACAAATTCATGCCAATATTCATCTTGCATGAAACAGCACATCGCTAGGCAAACACAGGTGCTGTCAGTATGTTAATGGGCATTTCGGGATTTCTCAAAATATATAACTGAAATTTGGAAGTGCTAGAGTTCTTTTTTTTTTTTGCACTAAGGCATACTTCGTTTTTCAGCCATAATTTGCTAAGTAAGCCAACATGGTTCAACATTATATATCACTAAGCCATAAACAGTGGTTAACACAACAAACAGCTAGATTCATATTACAATACAGTCTAATCCCAAATAACCCATATTATAGCTTCACTCAATGTGTGAACTGAGCTTCTGATTAAATTAGTATCTCTGGGAAACTGATTATTCCAGTTTGCCCCCAAAATAAGCTGCAGACATTGTTCCATTTTGTTATTCTCTTACATTTCCCATAATGGGTCATTCTGAATTTTTTTAAAAAAGTGAATCAATAAAGTAATAATTTCCCCAAAGGATATGCTCAGATGAATTAATTAGCTCCTTGTCCTCTAAGAAGAGAGAGGTCGAGGGAGAGAGGGAGAGAGAGAGAGAGAGAGAGAGAGAGAGAGAGAGAGAGAGAGAGTGAGTGAGTGAGGGGGGGATTCTTCTTTTCTTTCCAAAAAGAAGAAAATATGAGGTAAGACAGGCAGAATTTATGTAAATACTGAGGTGTGCATTTGAATAAGGATAGAATGAAGTGAGAGAATGTTATCCACAGTATGGGTACATGAACCATATACCAACAAGAATGAGAAAATCCTTAACTTATGAATGAAGAATAGCTATGGACAAGATACTGCAAAGAAATACTGTTCTATGGGCCATGATAAAATGAAAAGCCAAAATCCATAGAAGCAATGCTTTATGAAGCCAACTGAAGTGTTACAAAAAGGTAAAAATTTAGAGTTTCCAAAAATGTCTTCATCAGTCAATAATAATAATAATAATAATAATAATAATAATAATAATAATAAAGTTGGAAGGGACCTTGGAGGTCATCGAGTCCAACACCCTGCTCAGGCAGGAAACCCTACACCATTTCGGACAAATGGCTGTCCAGTGTCTTCTTAAAAACTTCCAGTGTTGGAGCATTCACCGCTTCTGGAGGCAGGTTGTTCCACTGGTTAATTGTTCTAACTGTCAGGAAGTTTCTTTTAAATTCTAGGTTGCTTCTCTCCTTGGTTAGTTTCCATCCGTTGCTTCTTGTCCTGCCTTCAGACGCCTTGGAGAATAGCTTGACTCCCTCTTTTTTGTGGCAGCCCCTGAGATATTGGAACACTGCTATCATGTCACCCCCCACCTTGTCCTTCTCTTCATTAAACTAGACATACCAAATTCCAGCAACCATTCCTCATATGTTTTAGCCTCCAGTCCCCTGATCATCTTTGTTGCTCTTATCTGTACTCTTTCAAGACAGTTAAAAACAGGCGAGAAAAGGAAATCAGAACAATTTTTTCTAATCATGGAGCTACACCAATGTAGATTCTTTGTGGGGCAAGATACCAATTAGATCTTAGCAGATACTGAATCTATTACACAAGGGTCTTTCCTAAACTATTCAGGTAGGAATAAACCAGTAATATTTTTAAGTCACCAGTTTTTGGAAATAAAGCTACCCCCAATATAGGGAGTTCTCAATCACATCTTGGAACCTTCAATCAATTTTATATTTTCTCATATCGCCAAAGCAGCGGATAGGTTGAACAATAAACACAATGAAAAGAAAAAGAGCTGAAATAATATATTTCTTATTTTGCACAATTGCCTCCTTCCTTATATTTTTTTCCTTTTATGCTTTGAAGAACTCACATTATCTGATGGTGTGGCATTCTTTCTTGACAGAAAAATAGATCTTCATAAATATAAGACATTATATTACAGGTTTCTGAAATTCTGTACTTGCTGTTTTGTTAATGCACACACCAATATAATAGGGAAGAAAAAAAAAGATAAATAACTGCAATAGCAGAAATACAGGAAGATTGTGCAAGAATAGAAAAATGTGTAAGAAGGTGGTGCAAGAACAGATCAAAGAGAGCATTTTCTGACAGGAATAAGTCAGGCTATACTTTGGACCCTAAAACACTTAATCATCAAATGAATATAATATTACTTACCCTTCATTATTTGGTGTAAAGTTCTGAAACATTTTTTTTCTAGAGAGTCAAGTGCCAACTTACGATCTTACCAAATGGTGACAGAAGGAAAATAAAGTTTAGCTAGCAGCAGAACGAAGACATTACTCACACATCTTTATCTGCTCACAATTTGACAAGTGGCCAGTGCTGGTCTTTATTTGTCAGTGCTCAGCAGAGCGAGTTTGGCAATGAAGAAAACTCATGAAACCATATGGGAAGAGGAAGAAACAAAACTCTATCTTTTTTCTCAAGCTAGTTCACATCTGGCACTTGCTGACTCACCCATGATAGCTTTTATGTGAACACTCTAGGTATCAGAAATATTATGCATGTATACTCCCTAGGTATGTTTTGCATCAAGAATAATGGGCTAACACAGGGAATGGGATAATAATGGGAATAACAATAGAAAGGACTGAGAACTTAAATCTGAGTAAGATCTATAGGACTGACTATTTTTTTCACATGATATACTATAGAGAATTGCTTTCAGTAGTAGAGTAGGGTAGGGTAGGGTAGGGTAGGGTAGAGTAGAGTAGAGTAGAGTAGAGTAGAGTAGAGTAAAGTAGACTTTATTGGCCAAGTGTGATTGGACACACAAGGAATGTGTCTCTGGTGCATAAGCTCTCAGTGTACATACAAACAACAAAGTAATATCATATGTAATCTGCAGTGAGATACAGAAAATAAAAATATCAAAACTATTGGAAAGCATTTCACAAAGGCTGCCATCGGTGGTGCCATCTTGAGCCATATCTATTAATGGCCTTTTGAACTTGCAAATTAGTTCACTGCTGCAGCATTTACAGAGGATCAATCATAGTTATTCACAGGGAGGGGGTCATAAAAACTTCAAGATGGCAATCTTGACTGTGCAATTAAATATTGGCATTTTTACATGCATCATGCATGTGATACATGTAAAAAAAGATAACACAGCTTTAATTTTGCAGCTGTGGCCACCATCTCCAAATGTTAACCAGGTCCACCCATGGATGCTCCTGGGACCAGCAGTTCTGTTCCATCTTCTGATCCAAGGTAAAAAGCACCCAAAATTGATCAAACATTCTGAGTGAAAATGGGACAGAAAACTATATTAGTGGAAGAATGAGGTCTTCTCCATTCTTATTTTCTTTTTTCCACAGAGAATGGAAAATGGAGGAGAAAAGTGAAAGAGAAATCCTTATCAATTTCAATCACTTTCACTGACTTTTTTGAGCACGTATCTTATCATAGCTTATCTTTTTTGTTCTTTAAAAATTCTAGTGGAATGGTCTTCTTGGGGCCTGGGAAAGAGAATGACACCTTGTACAATATTGCAGGTTCAGAATCTCTGCACATTCCTCTTTTATGAGGGAAATAAGTAGTTATTGCTTGTCATGGACCAGGACTCATTTGAATCTGATTCTGAAGAAGCTGCTCCAGCTGAACCAGTGGAATGTCAACTTTAAAAGAAATTAAGACAGAATCAACTGAGGCTGATCAAATACATGAACCACCAGAACAGTTGGAGAAGTCAGAAGATGATGTACAGCATGTGTGTCAAATTCGCAACGTCACGTGACGTGTCACAACGTATTGTGACTTTTCCCCATTGCTGGCAATGGGATGGGATTGGTTTTGGTGTGACACATCTGGCCCGTGGGCTGGCAGTTTGACACCCCTGAATGTACAGTCTTCAAGTCATCAAGCGCAATGAGCAAGAGTGGAAGAGTAAAGGCACTTAATGTAGCACTTTATCAGGCAAGGAACTGACTACCTTAACTGAAGTTAAATGGTTGCAGATTCATTTAAGAGGGAATCCTGACCCACATTTTTCTCTTGGAAGAAACTGTCTGCTTTCTTTTGTTTGGTGTATCGTTCCTGTATATTCTGCTTGGACAAGAAACCTTTAAACTCTGACTTTTCAACAGGTTCATTAATCTGGTTTGATTCTTTCCATTTTGGATTGCATTTTGATTACTCTTCTGCATATTCCTGTGGAAAGTGAAATTACTTGGGCAAAGTTTATCTGCAAGAGACTCTGATTTGTGCTCTTTTGTTTGTTTGTCATTTATCTACTCAGCTTTGAATAAACTGCTACCATCATCTTGCCAACTCTACGTCATACCTCTCCCCATTTCATCAACACGTGGTTAGCAAAAGAATTAAGGGATCTTGTCTCTAAAGAATTTAGAAATAAATGGTTAAAATAAATGTACAATATTCAACTGCAAAGAATTCTTCAATCTAATCTCCTTTCCCCTTTTCAATTTGTTTAATGAGGTTGTAAACTTTAGTTTTCATGGCTATAAGGCACTGAGAGGACTTGTCATTTGACTTGTCAATTCTTCCTTGACAATGAAAACTGGTTTTTCTGTGTTGCAGCTCACCCACTGGAAACAGCTAAACCAGTTTGTTCATGTGTGCCTTTGAGGTAGTTTTTGACTCTCAGTGGCTGTTTGCACTAGTCCCTGCAGATTTCGTGATAAGATTTTTCAGAAGTGGTTTGTCATTGTCTTCTTCCTATAGATGAAGAAGACTGACTGGCCCAAGGTCACCCAGCTAATTTCGTGTCTAGACTAGAACTCAGCCTCCTTGTTTCTCACCTGATGTCTTAGCTATTAAACTATCTCTAAACCAGTTGCCAGTATCTTATATATACCCCGTCAACTAATAATGATGAATTTACAAATGTTATTATTCAGATGTTGCTCAACTTAGTCAACAAGAGCAACTGATGGGGACATCAGGATTCATCTTTTGTTGTTCCTACTTCGCGGTCCATGCTATTTCACTCCCCAGGATCATTATCAGACAGGGAGGAAGGATCTCCAGACTTTTTAAAGCCTTTCAACATTCAATTGAATTATACTTTTCGTTGAAACCTATTGAGTTTTTCACAGGTTGTATTTGAGTGACATTTATTCTTGGATTCTTCATACTTATAAAATAAGCAGTTCCTATAATAAGCACCAATGAACCCATGATTAAAGTACAAAAGGCGTCCCAAACTATACATATATTTTATGTAGAGGTTTAAGCAATGCTTTATAAATTTGTGCCAGAACAACTGATAATTCAAAAATTTATACCAAGGAACATGCAGTAGTTCATTATAGAGTTTCAAATGTATTCCAGGGATGAATTGCCTTTAGATGATCATTTCTGTGTTTAATGAACTGAGAAATGAGCTCATTCACCAAGACATCACAGATAATTTAGCTGAATTATTTCAATGGTGTGTAACTATAGTAAGTTGGAGCAGCTGAGATGCATGGTGGGTGGGTGGGAAGAGATTTTATATCTCCTGTGCTCATTCTCTTTTCCCACCAATTTTGTATGATTTCTATGGTTGAACCTCTGAAGCTTTCTTAGTTACAAACTACCAAAGATGTTCCCTTGATTAATTTATTTGTGTTTTAAACTGCTTTAGATATATAATTCTTGCAGATTATTGTATAGTAATAAAAGCATTCACAGTGCAACAATAAACAAAAATTGTGAATATCATGCATAATTATAGTTTATGCCTGTAGCCAGTGCTTTTTTTCTAAAAAAAAAAAAAAAAGTGCGGGAACTCACACACACGTCATACAATTTGCTTTGCCTACCCTACAAGGTTCCATCCCAAAAAGGTGCCGGAACTCTGTTCTGGGCATTCTATGACAGGGCTTTTCAACCTTTTCACCCATTGTACCACTTTTAAGACATGGCAACATCCGAGTATCGCCAGTCGCCTAGCAAGGTATTAAAAACTTGATGACACCCCCCCCAAAAAGGAAAAAAAGTGATGAAGTACAGGTAGTCCTCGACTTACAATAGTTCGGTTAGTGACTGTTCGAAGTTACAATGGCACTGAAAAAAATGCCCCCCAAGCCACAGCTGAGCAAGACTCCTGCCTGCCCATCCAGAGGTTTTCATTGTTGTGAGCATTTCTTTTGAGGATTGGCAGCGGGGGTGGGGTGGGGGGTGTTTGATTTTTATTCCCCCCGTCAGCAGATTTTGGTCACTTGACATGATCCTGGGACACTGTGACCGTCATAAATATGAATCAGTTGCCAAGCATCTGAATGTAAATCACAAGACCCTGAAGATGCTGCAACATTCCAGCTGATTGGTGCTTCTGGGCTCAGCAGAGGTATCAGGATCAGTGCTGCTTTCCAACTGATTGGTGCTTCTTCTGGGCTCAGCATAAGCGCCAGGATCAGCGCTGAGCTCCAGCTGGAGCTTGGCGCTGATCCTGGTGCTTCCACTGAGCCCTGACAGCCCTGAAGAAGCACCTATCAGCTGGAAAGTAGCATTGATCATGGAGCTTCTGCTGAGCCCTGACAGCCCGGCAGCTCCAGCCATCTCTCGCTCAGGCTTGTGTGGTGCTGCCATCGGTTCAGCTCATTCCCCCCCCCCACTACCACTTTTCTAGGATGGTCGCGTATCACCTGCCAGGTTCCAATGTACCACAGGTGGTACCTGTACCACTGGTTGAAAAGCTCTGTTCTATGAGAAAAAAAGCCCTGCCTCTAGCAATTTAAGGTACTTTGTACTATCTTGCTCTGCTAAACTTTGTTTCACAAATCAGCTACAAAGTATCATACATATGAAATCAAGAATCTTGTAGACTTTTGTCATCAACTGCATCTGCACTTGCTTTTTGTCAAGAAAAAAGATGACTCTCAAAAAGTGGTTCATTAATTCAGACTGTTGAACTCTGTAACTTTTTTTAAAAATATATTTTATTAGATTTTGATATGGGTAGGGAAAAGGTGGGGTTGGGGCAGGTACAGGGAAATCGGGATAAAGGGGATAGGGTGTGGATAGCTACAGTAAATATGTGATTCAGCGAACAAGCTGTTGTCCGGGTCTTCATATTGAGTATTATTGTTTATATAATACTAGACATTTATAAGAGTAAATCGGTATAGTTACAACTGACTTTTGGTAAAACAGTAATATTCCTTTAAATAATTAACATAGTTATAGCATAGCAACTATTTCCAATCATCAAGCTTAATACTTAATATAATAAAGCTCTAAAATCTCTTCTTATTCTAACGTGTTTCAACCCACTGATAAAATTTTCTCCAGGTTTTATAGAAGATTGAATCCTCTTTCTCCTTCATCTCTAATGTTAATCTGTCCATTTCTGCACAATCTAGGATTTTCAAAATTATAATCTGGTCTGATGGTAGGTTTTCATTTTTTCAAAACTGGGCGAATACTATTCTTGCAGCTGTCAATACATGTAATATTAAATAATCATTTTCTTTGCCGTAGTTAGGTCTTAATATACCTAACAGGAACAGTTCTGGTTTAAATTCTATCTGGATTTTCATCATCTTTTCTAACCATCTGTGAATCGTAGACCAATATTTTTTTGCAATAGAACACGTCCACCAGGCATGATAATAAGTACCCGGTTTTTGCTTACATTTCCAACACGTATCCGATAAATTCTTAAACATTTTCGCTAAGCGAACTGGTGTCATATGCCATCTATAAAACATTTTATATAAGTTTTCTTTGTATGTTACTGCTTTAGTAAGTTTGATATTTTTATCCCACAGTTTTTGCCAGTCTTCTAATTCTATAGAATATCCAAAGTTCTTCACCCATACTATCATTGTCTCTTTTACTTGTTCTTCTTCCATCTTCCAATTTAATAAGTATTTATAAAGCTTCTTAATCATCTGTTTTAAAAGTATTTTACCAAATGGGAACTCTGTAACTTTTAAAGATCTCTGTTCAGATCTGGAAAAACTAAAAAAAAGTTGTTTTTTTAAAAATAAAATTGGATTTATTAAATTGGATTTGAGGAGGGAACCTTACAATTTAACTTGGACAAAGGAGAGACATTAATATTTAATATCCTTTGACACACGTTGTGGAGATTTGATCATATAGCAATGCTTTGGGATTTTTCAAATTGTCTCTTGATATTTCATGAATGAAATATTTTGGGGCATTCTAGACTTCTGCGTATTTAGACAAGATTTTGGTTTCTTTCTAGACATAGAGCATAGGAATTGGCCTTAAGGAACAGAACTAAGAGCTACTACCAATGCAATAGTCAGTTAAAGGGAGCCTGAGACAAGAATATATGTGTAAATGTCTTGGGTCCCTCTCTAGTTCATACAGAGATAAAGGAGGGGGGGAAAGCACATTTAGTCATGTAAGATTCTGTTACTATTACTTTATAGTAAAAGTAGTACTGACTTATGTGGTATTGCTTGCATCATAGCATACTAGATCAAAGCAAAAAAATGTACTGGCAAGGATCCAAAGATGAGAGACCCCACAAAATACATATTTATTAATTATACTGTAATTGAACACATTGTCAGGATATTTATATAAATTGCATACTTTTTGTCTATACACATCAAAGGCCACAAAGAAGCAAATCGTATTACAACTTAGCATGTTACACAAATAGATTTATACATCACAAATGTTATGCAAATAGTACCAAACCACAATATCCTATTCATTATGTAATTAGGTTCAGTGCAGGAAACCCCTACATTGATAAATCATGTAATATATTACAATAGTCATTTGTGATCAGGTGGACAAGAGTTACCTGAGGAATGTGACTGGTTGGACCTTTTCACACAGCACATAATTATTTTATTATTTGTTAAATTTGTTTGCCGCCTATTTTCCTATGGGGCTACAATTCAGCTAACTGAAATACATGATGACCGCCACTAACCTGGATGGTGTTGTTTTGTAAAAGATAGTTCAAACAAATAATAAATTTGAAGCACCTCGTTGGGGGCAATATTCCTTCAAATACCAATTACAGGAGGGAGTTGTGTTTGCACCTCCCTCTGGGATACCCAGAGGCATCTGACCGGCCACCCTAAGAACACAAAATACCGACCTAAATTGGGCTAGCAATAATTCAGCAGTGTTCCTAACTTTAAAGTCCGTTCATCTGCACCATCCTTTTAATTAACAGAAGCGAGATGCGCCTTCGGCAGAGGACACCGCTCTCTGGGGCAATGGCCTTCCCCCTACAGAGCTGAGCCTCTCTTTAAGCCTGTGGCTCGCTCCCTTATACACATTTCTCGCCCCCTGTCAAGACAGGCATCAATTAGCCCAGGGGTAGGCAACCTTGGCTCTTTTATGACTCGTGGACTTCAACTCCCAGAATTCCTGAGCCAGCTTGGCTGGCTCAGGAATTCTGGGAGTTGAAGTCCACGAGTCATAAAAGAGCCAAGGTTGCCTACCCTGAATTAGCCCTTCCCAGCCGAGGCAACCGGGGAGATTTTCCTTCTAACCCGGACTAATACCGATGGGTAATAGAATGTCTGCCGGGAGAAAAAAAAAAAACAACCCCAAGCTCAGACAGCACCAATGACCCCTCATTTCAACCCTGAACTAAAAAAGAAAGAAAAAAAAGGGGGGGGGTGTTTCTCCTTTATTGGGACCCTCTTTCCTCCTGAGAAAAATAGGCGCCAGCCAATCAAAGCCTCGCCCAGGCGAGGGAGCCCGAGAGCCCATTCGCAAAGAAGCGCGAGCAAGCACCGCCCCTCCCCTGATTGAGCCACCTGCTCCCCGCTACCGTCATCCTCGCGCCTCGCCTCACATGACTACGAGCACGTGACAGGCGCCAGTCGGGTCTGTCAGCTGAACAGCGTTGCGCGGAGGGAGGGAGGGAGTCACATGACTCTTCCGCCAGGGCGCTTTCTCGCTTTCTGCTCGCTCATGTTAGCCGAGTAACCTTCGCGGAGCTTTCCCTCGGCCTGCCATGGGACGCGCCGCGTTCGCCGCAGCGTGCGGGGCTGGTGCGCTCCGGCTCTGCTGGCTGCCTTCCCTCTTCTTGCTTCTCCTCCCGGGCCAGAAGGGAGACCGCACCACCACCGTAGCGGCCCAAGACGCCTTCAATTACCAGGATCTATGCCAGTAAGTGCCAGTCCTCCTGCAACGCCGCTCTTCGCTAGGGACAGCTGCAACTCCGCAGGACTTTTGAGGAGGGACGGTTTGCGAAGGAATTGTCCCGGACTGTGGCCGGATTCCCTAGTAGTTTCCTCTTTGGCAAGCAAAGCAGACATGTTGAACCCTAAATACACATTTGCACGACTTCCTTAAGAGTGCTTTCGCATTTAGATTTCCAAGTGCTTTTCTGCGCTTCCTCTAATTTACCCCATAGTTAAAGAGGAACTGCGATTTAAAAAGTGACCTTTGCCGTTACCAAACAACGTTGGCCTTTCAGATAACCAGCATCATCTTGTTCAATTTGGTTTCCCGAAAAGCTTGCTGCATGTCATTTGCTATTATATACTAGTTTGGAGGCAGCAATTTTACTTTCACTGAGGGGTAACAGCTACAATTTGTTTAAATTGTGCTGTCTCCTAAACTTTTTTTACATAAAATTCTTAAGCTTAAGAAAAAGTTCTGGAACATGTTTGCGTAGGATTTCTCTTATTAAACGCTATTGTAGAATGCTATTAATTGCTTTGTTCAGATTTCCTCTGTAAGTGTACTAAAACTATGTAAACATTGTTTTGTGGCTAGAGATCAGAGGTGTTGAACAGTCTTTAAATATAGG